TCCTGCAAACCACTGTGGAACTGACTACCAACAGGATGTTTCCCTGATCACTACAGTCTTAACCTGTTCAAGGCTAGGGTTAACTGTTATCTTCCACTCCTATACATACAAATGGCCTCCAAATGTAAACCTCTATCTGTAGTGGCTCCCAAGGGTGAACCTTGCTGTAAATAAATACACACACACACATATTTTCTCTATGAAGTCCCTTGCTGAAGCAAAATTTAAACTGGATTTTAAAGAAAATATTTTCTTTTTGTATTGAAACCATCCTTGTAATCTACAATTACATATTCTTTAAAACAAACACTATTAAAAATGATAGACATTTGTGTCAATTAATTTTAACGATTGACTTTACCAAGTATCCTTCTCAGACAAGGAAGAAATTCTATCAAAAATTGTCCAAAGTTCATTTCGGAAGAAAAGTACTGGAAATATGGCCCAAACTTTCAACTTTCTTAAGTCATCATCAGTGTAGGTAGAGACAATTGGTGAGTTTCATAGAACTAGTGAATGCTTTAACATAAGCATGGTTTGATGTGTTTTTTTAATAATTTTTTTTTTATAATTATGTAATTTTTAATTTTTTTATAATTATAACTTAACATGCATCCTCAAATGTATATATAAGAAAGAAACATGCCCCACAGCACTAGCTCTACGAAACTCACCAATTGTCTCAAACAACCCTAATAAAGACTTTAAGAAAATCAAAATCTTGGACCATATTTATTGTACTTCCCTTCTGAAATGATCCTCAGACAATTTCTGGCAAAAATTTCCTTTGAGAAGGATTATTTGTAACTTGCAAAATGGGATCATTAAAATTGATCAAAACAAAATGTCTGTCGTTTTTTTTAACCTAAAGAACATTTACTGCCTAAATACACACTTACATATTCAAAGATTTGATGTGTTACAACTGCAAAAGTACTTTTCAATTAAATCTAAAATACTATTGTAACACTATGCATTATTTGTTTTTTCAACTAGTAATTGTAACTGAAGATCTACTAATTGCTAATTTTTTATTTAATGGTTGAATGTTCTCATGGATTAGAAGTCAGACTCTGTCATTAAACTCTTAAGCCATCCTCCCGTAGAATAGCTTAATGGTAAGTTCATTAAAACGGAGACCACTAGATATATTTCTCGAGATTGGTACCATTATTAAATCAGTGTCATCATATAGGCTTTATAGTTGTAATAAGGTGATTTTTTTTTTTTTTTTTTTAATACTTCAAATGGAACAGTTTATATCCTACTAGCAGTAGAGCCCGGTGTTGCCCGGGGATGTAACGGTAAGAGATAGATCAAGTATCAACCATCATAAAGACTGAAAAATTAAATTGACAAAGATTATTGTTTAAGGTTGATGGACATGCATGTCTTAATTAGTTTTTTTTACGAATTGGTCAAACCCAAATTCAAACAAAAACATTGTTTACAATCGTTATGAGTCTATCGATTGGTGAATAGAATTTTATTATAAACAATTGTCTTGTAAATGGAATTTTTAAAGCATTCTGAATGTAAATAAAGAAAAAAAAAGTGTGCAAGACAATAAGAAATACTACCTGCGGAAAAAAAAAGTGGATGTTTGTTTTATCGGCTGAAAAATGTAAGAAATCCGATCCCATATATAAAGGAACACACACACATACACAACCTGGGTCTTTTAACCTAAGTCACTCCACGGAATCGCTAAAACATAGAGCATAGTCTGATGAAAAAGACGACAAAGTTTATGAAAACAAAATTTTATCGTAAAAATGCTTATTTTTTTATGAAGAGGATAGACTAAATTTTTTAAATTATTTTTTAAAAATTTTTCCATCTTTTAGAATATTCTAAATTTTGATTTAAAAAAACCTTGTTTCTCTTTGTCACAACAAGGGGTAGTAAATAACATAGATAATTTTTAGCGCATTTTTTTGTATTTAGACACATTAATTTGGAAAATCTTGCAAAAATAAAAATAATTGTCAGATGTTAATGAAACTTTCAGAAACTATTCACAGATGATCGAAATTATTATAAATTTTTTTTTATTAAAATGCTTTTATTTGTTTTAATTTGTTTTTATGAATATGGACAATATTTTCTGAAAGCAAAAATTTTTTCAATGAAAATTGAATTTTTAATACAATTATTTCTTATTTCTTTAATTTTAAAAAGATTTTTAAAAAATGTTTAAATTGAATTTTAAAAAATATTTTAACATTAGTTAAAAGCAACATCAACCTTTCAAAATGTCCGTGTGAGATTGTCATTCTCTAGCGCTTTGAAAATTGTATAATTTGGACCAATCAGATTAGCCATGGTAATTAAAAATGTAATTTTTGTGCTTATAGTCAGACAGTAATTATCAAGTACGGAAGACCAACCAGAATACAATTTAGTTGCATTATTTGAGTTCAGCATTGTTCTCCGCTGTTAAGCCCTTTTACTTTTTTGCGAAACACGTATGGAGAAGTTAATTTGAGTTTTCAATTTCAACTGAGAAGGGTACCTACAAGTAACAGTATCATCTTATGAAATTTAACTACGGCTAAACTTTAATTTATATGATCTTATTTTTATATTAATCTCAGTTATGACATTTTTCCATAAATGAAATATCAAAATTAATAATAAAATGAATGGAAATACAAACAACACAGTAAAATGTAATAAATGTACATAAAATTATAGTATTTTATGTACACTTCTGATAAAATTTCATAAGAAAGGTACCTAAATTAATTAGATACCTTTTTCTTATGAAATTTAATCTCACTATTAACAGTCTTATTTTTTAATTTCTTTATATTTTCCATAAAGCATCGTAAACGTAAAAATGAAAGCTAAGTACAAAAAAAAAAAAAAAATAAAAAATTAGAGCGCTGAAAGTTTTCCTTAAAAGTAACAAGGTAAATAATTTGTTCACTTAAATAATTTCACTTCCTTCCATCCGTAGAAAGAATTCTCCTCCCGTAAGTTATCTAAACGTCATGAATGTGCCTTTAGTCAATCGTCAAGCGACGAAAGGTTATGACCTGCTTTGTTTTATTTTCAAATTACATTTTTTTGGCGCAGAAGCTAAGTTAAGCTTGGTTCAAAATATTTTAAATAAACAGTATAATATCTGTTATTAAAATCAGTTTTGAAAAAATGATAATTGACTTTTAAAAGAATATCAAAGTAAGATTTTAATCTTTTTATCAAATCGAAAAAAATGATTGAAAATGATTATCTGCCCTTTTTTTTTTGACCAAAAAAACAATTTTTAACGAAAATTTCAGACGTGCTAGGGAGCGATTAAAAAATGTAAAAAAATACCACCAAAATACTTTTGATCTTTCCTCTTTAATAATAATATGAACATTAGACGATAAAATTTTGTTTTCGTCCAAGTTCGCCGCCTTTTTCATCATGCTATGCTCTTTTGTTTACATTTTCGTGGGTGAGTTGTCCCCCTTTCATTCTCACGATGTGTCTTAATCGTGTTTTCAAATTGATTTTATCAAAAAACAACTGTATTTTTCTCATTTTCGGTCCCGTTAGAACCACCACAAGGTAATTTTATGTAGTCCTGTGAAGTTTTGTTGAAATCGGCTAAAAAATGTAGGAAATTCGATCCAACATATAAACGTTACAGACACACACACACACACACACACACAACCTGCATTTTATAATAAGTAAGATAAGATAAGATATAAGATTCACAGCTCATTTGACATATTCTTAAGTCATTAGCAACTGTTCTGAATAAGGCACAGTCTCTTTTTGTCCCCCCTTTTTAAACTTCTCTGTGGGTCAGAGACATGCACATTGTTCTCATTCTCTCTTCAATGTTTACCATTAAGGCATAATCAAAGTAAATGGCAGTAAGAAAGGATACCTGGGGGTGCAGATTGGATTCATGCCACCAAGAAAAAAGGCATCAATGCAAATGTGATATCAATGGTTAAGACTAGAATTTACATTTTCATTAATTTCATTTCTTGAGACAACGTTGTTGTTTCTCTTTTGTAATTTCCTGTCTTCCAGTGGTTAACACACATAGTAGAGCAAAAGTCTTGGGTTATTTTCATTTTTCCTTTTTATTTCTATGATTGTTTTTTTGCAGTACTGTAGTTTTAATTATAAAGTTGTGTTTAAATGTCTTTGCAGCACTTTGTAGCTTTATTGATAAACCATTTCAAGATAGTGTGTTGGGAAGAAATTTAAAAGAAATAGAAAATAAGTTTTAAAGAAACTATCAATATTTTTTTTGCTATAATAATTTAAATAAGTGAATTTTAAAAATCTTATCCTGTAACAAACTGCTACCTGTATACAGGTTGCGATGGATAAATTGTCGTCTAAATTATGCATAAATGAAAATAACACCGACATCTCATGTTAATAGATATATTTACCAAAATTGCACAAAAATATCTTGAAATACTAAAGAATAAATTTATTCAATAAAATCACCATTGGCTTCAATAATGGCCTTTAGATGACTTCAGAATCTCCTGCAACTCTTCTGGATGGTCTCCTTGTTTAAATTGGTGAATGCTGCCATAATTTTTGCCTTATGTTCATCTTTGGTATTACAAGTTTTGTTAGTCTCTTGCTCAATTGCACCCCACACATAATAATCAAGTGGGTTGCAGTCTGGGGAGTTAGGTGGCCAGATGTAAGTGGTGATGTGCTTGCAGAAATTGTCTGGCAACCATGACTGGGTTTTCCTGCTTGTGTGGCATGGTGCAGAGTTCTGTTGCCAGACATAATGTCTTTCAGCAGCCACCCTCTTGACCCAGGGCAGCACTACATCCTCAAGGCATTTGATGTAGGCCACTGTATTGAGTCTGAAGCAATGTGTATGCGTGAAATTAAAAAATATGAAATGGTGACAATTTACTCATTGTGCCCTGTATTATACAAATTTATTCTTGGTAATGGAGTATCTCCCAATATATATTTTTTTTGTTTTCTATTTTCTCTTCATTTTTTTTTATCTCTAGCATGAAGAACAATATCTGTCTATTTTGAGTGCTGTAAAAGGAGGTGCCAGTGAGAAACGGCTGGCATCACAGTTTATTGCTCGTTTCTTTAAACATTTCCCAGAATTGGCCCAACAGTCATTTAATGCTTTGTTTGAACTTTGTGAGGATGACGACATTAATGTAAGTACTTTCTTTCATTTACACTGTTCTATCTTTTGTTAATAGTGCCATCTTTCTCACAAATATTTTTTTTTAATTGTTTTTCTCTCTTATAAATAAAAACAAAAAAAAAACAACAAATATCTAATAATTTCTTTAATAATTTAATGAAAAACATTTTCAACATAATTTTTCTTCCATTTAAAACAATACTTCTCACATTGATTGAAAATTACCCACTGAAAAATTCAGATCAAAAATTTAGTTAATAACTGTCAGGTTGTGAATTTATCCAAGTTTGTAAAGAAAAATTCTAGCATATGATAAAAATCCATTTTTATGTCTGCTTTTTGTTATTTAGTAATAACACTGAGTATAGAAATATACATTCCTTATTCTTTATTTTAATGCTTAAGAAATGCTGTTTTCAGATTACCAGATAATTCATTTGAGTCGGGTACGTTCTTTACATGTAAAGTGTTTTTTTTTTATCTCATAGCTTTATTGTACATAATGTTTAATTTAGTTGCATTACTATTTTCTGCCTGTGTAGAAACACATCATTTTGAGTAGAAAAAAAGGTTCTTGTTCTATTAGTGTAGTAATCCACAAGATGCTTAATTTCAATCACAATACTTCTGTTTTCTGACCTGTGTAAATAAAGCATGATTCCCTTGATTTACTTAATGCAATGTTCTTTGTAAAATAGTTATGTTTTTCTAAAATTGTAGCTTACAGAACAAAAGTAAATATATAAATATTATATTATACTCTGTGCGATTTTAATATTGTCCATGCTAAGACAGCTTACAGTTAGCTTTAACAAAAAAAGTTACAAATTGGCCAACACTGTCTTTTTTGCTTTATTAAATGAAATTATCACACTGTAAACCTTCGGGTTTCTAATTTAGTAAAAATTTCTTGTACTTTTTTAAAAATTGAGAACATTTATTGGGTGTGTGTAGAAGTTGTCACTTCTGTAGAATCTTTGAGAGAAAAAAAATTGCGTGAGAAATTTTAGATTTAATTGACAATTTCTAAACAAATGAAAAATGCAGGTTTGTAACAGTTTTTTTTTTGTTTTTTTTTGCATTTCAGATTCGCAAACAGGCCATCAAAGATCTCCCTAGTTTGTGCCGTGTGACCCCAGAGTTTATTCCCAAAATTGTAGAAGCCATGATTCAATTGATGCAACATTTTGATGACAATTCTGAACTCAGTTTAATTCAATCATCTCTTACTACTTTGTTCAGCATAAATTGTCAAGGTAAAGTTTTTCTTACTCTTCTATTACATAATCTGGTTTTGTAGAAATTATCTTGTTTACACTCAACCAGAACAACTCCTACAAATCTGTAGTTGTTGGTGTCTTTTAATCTCATCCATCTGTTTTGCTCCACTCTGTTGCCAATTCCAGTAGATGGAAGGCTAAAAAGTTTAACAAAAGTTTACATGTTACTTGTTTATAAACTGTGTATTATCATTAATAATACAAACTTTCATGAGGACCTTGACTTTGCTAAAATCAAAGTGGATTTTTCTTTTATTTTAAATGTAGTCTTTTCATTTTGAAGCATTAGTGTAAAAGTACATGTGTAGATGTATTCCTTTGTACAAATTTTATAAAAGACTTCAAGTATTTTGACAAGAATTTTATCAGTGCAATTTTTGATTTGTTTCTTTTCTAAATTTAAGATTTTAACAATTTTCAAGTGAGATTAAGATTACAAATTGGTTTCTTTAGTAACTTATCTAGTTCCAGTAACCCAATAAAAATATATAGTTATTTATTTTTTGTATTTATAGCAAAGGAAAGATGGTTGATTCCATGACTTACATATCTTTAAAGAGTTCCCAAGAAGAATATTCTCTGTTTGAAAAAAGATTCCTGAATATTCCAATAAGAGTAGTAATAAATTTTTTTTTTTTTTTTTTTTTTTTTTAGGATTTTGACTACAGAAACAATAAATCCATGTGGCAAGCATTTTTTGCTTAGTTTCTATCATTGTTATTAGTTTTACTGTTGTTCACAAATATACTTTTCCCATCTTTCAGGAACATTAAAAGGTCTGTTTTGCATGATTCTTGGCGAGAATGATAGTTTACGAGATCTAGCTCTGAAGTTCCTAACTAATAAAGTCAAAGTCTTGCCAGATGACACACTTGGCAAAGAAGATGAAGATTTAATTGTTACAGAATGCAGGAAGGTGAGAATATCCATTTGCTTTTTAGAATTTTTTCATAATTGCTTGAAAATGACTAGTTCTGTAAATAAATTTCTTTGAAAGCTTATATTTTCATTGTGTATTAAAATACTCATACAGTAAAAATTCCTAATTTAAAATTCATTTTCTTTTTCAAATGAGCTTGTAGCAATGGCTTACATAGAATATTAGTAATTGGCTCTTTGTTTCTACCACAAGACGCTACACAGGTTAAAATTATAATTAATAGATTAAGTATTGGAAGAATTTGGGGTATTGTTTAAAATATTTTTGTTATAAAGGTTTTTTTTTTTTTTGTGGTGGTGGTGGAGTGTAATGTGATTCAAATAAAGTATAGTATACTTCTTGAAAAAATGTATGCTCTTTAAAATATATCAATAATTTGGTATGTTTCATAAAGTTAAAATGCAACGTTCCTAGTATATACTCTCTCTTTTTGCCTTAGAACAAACTTAGAGTATCTGGAAATCTTTCTTGCTGACTAACACAGATAATTTTGTTACTTTATATATGATTTTTTTTTCCCCACCTTAGCCCTTACGATTAAGCAAAAGAAATATTTCCTGAAAATTTGTACTGTAATTTCTATTAGAATTATTTTTGTTTTGTTTAACTTCCTTCAAAATTCAAGTCAATAATTTTTCAAAACAAAAGATGCTGTATATTTTGGTTGCATTTCAGGTTCTGCAAGATGTTACCTGCATGGAGTTTATAGCTATTATGAACTTGCTAAAAGGTCTAAAGTCAATGAGCACTGTTATGGGTCGACAGCAGCTGGTGGACATTATTATTATGCAAGCAGAACTAGAACACAAGTTTAAGGTTTGACATTTTTTTGTAGTTTATAACATTATTGAATTTTATTTTAACTTAATTGAAAAAATGCTGACATAAACAAATTTTCTTAGAAAAATTCTACCATCCAGGTAATTTTTAAATTTTGTAAAAATGAAATATCTTTTCTCTTTATTTTATTTGAATAACTTATTTTCTAGAAATATGTCTTTAAAGATATAAAATAGGTACCTCTATGAGGTCACTAAAAAAGAGCATAGCATGATGAAAAAGATGCCAAACTTGACAAGAACAAAACTTTATTGCCTGAATGTTTGTTATTATTAAGAGGAAAGATCAAAGTATTTTTTTTACATTTTTTTTAATTGTTCCTAGCATGTCCAAAATTTTCATTAAAAATCTTTTTTTTTCTTTTTTTTCTCAGAATAATTGACAGCTAACCAATCATGACATCATTTTTTTCCGTTTTATAAAAAAAATGAAAATCTCAGTTTGAAATTCTTTTAAAAATCAATTATAATTTTTTCAAAGCTTATTTTAAGAAAATCAGAAATTATTATGTTTATTTAAAATATTTTGAAACAAGCATTACTTAGTTTCTGTATCGAAAAGATGTAGTTTGAAAATAAAACAAAGCAGGTCATAACATTTCGTGTCACTTGACAGGTGATGAAAGACATTTTCATGACTTATTGATGATAGCTTATGTGAGGATAATTTATTCTACGGAAGGAGAGAAGTGAAATTATTTAGATTTAAGTAAACAAATTATTTACTTCGTTATTTTTAAGGAAAACTTTCAGCACTTTATTTATTTATTTTTTTTGTACTTGGCTTTCACCTTTGTTTACGATGATTTATGGAAAATATATTATAAAGAAATTAAAATAAGACTGTTAAGAGTGAGATTAAATTTCATAAAATTGAAATAAGATGACTCGCTGAAAACTGTAAAACAACTTCACAAAATTGAAATTACAATGAAATATGTAAATGAAATAAATGGTACTTTTAAAATGTAGTAATGTTGCTGCTGAAAATGGTGTTCAAATTTTTTTAATTGGTAAAACCGTTAATTCAAAATGCTCATCATGTGTTTTGCACAAAGAATTTGCAATAATGAAATGGGCGTTCAGCGAGGAACGCTTACACTCAAGCCACGTGACGTTTTATTGCTTGTGACCTGTACTTTTTAATTACAGCCATTTTAACGATTTTTATGAACAAAAAATTACATTTTCTTAATTACTGTGGGTCTTCTGATTGCATGAAGTGATACAATTTACAAAGTGCTAAAAAATGATCTATCTCATAAGGACATTTACGAAAGTGAATGTGGCTTTCAACTAATTTTATAATATTTTAACAACTTAAATGTAATAATCTAAAATAATTAAAGAAATAACAAATAATTGTATTAAAAATTCATTTTTCATCAAAACATTTTTTTGCTTTCAGAAAATATTATCCATATTCATAAAAACAACTCGAAGCAAATAAAAGCATTTGAAATTAAATATTAAATATTTTTGTTTTATTGAGTTTTGTATGTTACAATTCAGGGCTGATTTTCAGGTAGAGGGGGTCCAATTAATGATTAATTAACCATGATTTGCTTTCCTCAAAGCCTTATGCTTTTAACTAATATAATCACTAAACTGAACGTGACTGAATTTTTAGCATTTTGATAAAATTAGTTGGGGGGGGGTAATAAATATACAAAAATATACATTTCTGACATGACTTTAATAAAAAAAAAAAAAAAACATATTTATAATAATTTCCGTCATCTGTGAATATTTTCTGAAAGTTTCATTAACAGCCGACAATTATTTTTATTTTTGCAAGATTTTCCAAATTAATGTGTGTCATACAAAAAAAAACATGCTAAAAATTGTATGTTATTTTACTAGTTCTGGTGATACAAAGAGAAACAAGGTTTTTTTATCAAAATTTAGAATGTTCTAAAAAGAAGGAAAAATTTTTAAAAATAATTAAAAAATACATAAACATTTAGATGATAAAATTTTGTTTTCGTCAAGTTTGGTGTCTTTTTCATCATTCTATGTTCTTTTTTTAGCGATCTCATGGAGGTATCTAATGTAAAATATATTTTCTTTTGTCATTCCGTGATACGATTTTTTCTTATTGTTGATTCATCTCTTTCAGCCGGATGACCCTGACTGTGTTGATCGATTAATGCAATGTATTAAACAGAGTTTACCCTTATTTTCTGTAAGTTATATTTTCTCCTTACAAACCAGCCAAAAGAAAAACTTAATTCATAACAGTTCTTGTTGCTTAAATTCATTTTTTTTTTTTTTGTTCACAATAAAATAGGATTATTAATGAATTTTACCTTGCATCCTATACCCATAAAACTAGCAATATGCTTTTGAATTCTGACCTGAAGAATAGAAGCTGATACCTGTTGCAACTTGTTCTAACAAGAATTTTAAGAACATGCTTTTCTTATTTTGTGTCTTGTAGCTGTCTGATTTTTTTTCTTTTAATATCAAGGCAACAATTACAATGTGTTTGCCTTGAGGATTTTAGTATAGACAAAGGACAAAGTAAAGCTGCTCCTTATTAGGTTATGATGATTTAAAAATCTGCTTCAGAATAAAATCAGTTTTTATTTGTATGATATAATGGTTTGAAATTATAATAACTAACATTGACATGCTGAATTAATTTGACTGTTACTTATAGATCTACTTTATTGATGTGATTTTTGTATCCTGTGTGTATCTGAATTAATGTTTTGTTCTTTCCAGAAAAATGTCCATTCCAAAACATTTGTTGGTTATATGTGTGATCAAGTGATCCCTGTAATGTCTGAGTTAGCTTGTGTTGATGAAGGCACCAATGTGCAATTGGAAATGCTTAAACTGTTTGCGGAGATTTCTGAATTTGCTGGAGAATTAGAAGACATTGAAGAAAGAGTAGAACGGGTTTATGAAAAGCTCATTGTGAGTAATGATTTTTATTTTGTCTTAAAAATCTCAGATGAAAGGATTTTTCATGGTTGCTTGTATTAAAAATATGATATTGTTTACAAAATATGATTATGGCATTTCTGAAGTTCATATCTATTGGGATAATAATAATTTAAATAAGTATTTTGTTAAGTGAACATTCTAAAGATATTGTTTTTATTATACATGTTTTAAATTGTGGTCGATGCAATGAGTTGTTTAAAATCAATATATATAATCAATATTTTCATTATTCCACTCATTTTTTAAATTTTTTTTGTTTCATCTTCATTGTTTCAATACTGTATTTTTGGCTAAAGTTGCTTAGTTATTTTTTTCTTATTATTTTAAGATGAAGATTGTAGTTTAAAATATCTATGGCTAAAAATGAATTTCTGTTTTGTGATTTTGTAACCTCTACAACCACTAATCAAAGTATAAATAAAAAACGTATTTGTAAATGTAATATAAGTATTATATATTGTGAATATCTTTTGTATCTTAACAAATAAGCAAAATTAAATTTAATGATATTAACTGCTGCTGATTAAAATCATAGTTGCCAGAAGAGTTTGTAATTTGTTAGTAACAATTTGGTCACTGATGCATAATAGCATCCTATTGTAATTGTGCTTGTCCCTCTCATTGTTAGTTTGCATGACTGTTACGCTATGTCAATACCTCATAAATAATGGATTATACTGTGTTTTGCTTGCATGGACAGAGGTGGGAAGACATTATTTGGTTTCAGTGAGAAAAAGAAGGAAAAATAGAAGTGTTTAATGACTGTTTCAGTCAAATGGAAAAATTTGTCAATTTCAAATCTTTTCATTTGTACCTCCTTACTACAACTAACGACCAGCATTCACATTTATGGATGTTATTGCAATATTTTGTTAAAGTTTTTAAGCTCAAATATTTAACAATGCAATATAATGATTTCTAAAGATATTTTATTGTCATAGAACTCACTGTGGGGTTATTCAATCATTAACTTAAGAACTAAGATTCATCAAAATATTAAAATAGGAAAAGTGAAATTTTTGTGGGTTAAAATTAGTGTTATTTTTAGAATGAGCTGCAGCTTTTGTATGCTTATTTTTTGCATTTTTTTTTAAAAAATGTAATATTCTGAATAAATAAAATTGATATAATTTTATGCATTTTTAACCAAATTTTAATTATTTATTTGAAATTCTCCTCCTCCTCTGTATATAAATTATTTTGTACTTTTACAATTGCTTGACCGTTTTAGTTTCATAGCTTTAGTTAGGTTTTAATTTTTTTAGTTTTACAGTACTTTTTAGCATATCTGTTGTTAAAAAAGATTTTAAAATATATCATTCTGTGAAAAAAAAATAATGACACAATTGAAATACATATGTTGGCTACAACCTGGACATGAAACATTCTTTTATTTGCATTATTTATTTGTAGGAATATATGCCGCTACCTCCTTCAGATGAAAATGATGATATAAGTGGTGAGTCAACGTCAGAAGAACACAAATTACAGTTTTCATATGTTGAATGTCTTATGTACACATTCCATCAATTGGGACGCAAATATCCGAATTTCCTCTCTGATGAAAGCAATGCTGACAGATTGAAAGACTTCAGACTTAGGTAAGATTTATAAGTTGTCTTTATGATTAGATATTTGTAGACCTAAAGAAATAAATGTTTTACATTGTGCTTGTTTTGGTTTACTTATACTTTTTTTTTTTTTTTTTTGTTTATAAAAGAAAATAAAAACTTTTCAAGGAAGGTCCTAGTCATCTGTTAATTCTATTTTTTCATAATACTAACATTTTATTTTACTTTTCTTTTGAAAAACTGAGTGATATATAAACTTGTGTATGTAATCACTTTTTCAAAATTAACATATTTAAATATAATCTTAGCTAGGGATTGAGAAAAAAGGGGCCAGCCAAAAGGAATTTTACATTTTGGTGATTGAAGACAAAGTGGAAAATTTATTAATGGGATGTATGGCCAGAGAGCATATGCTCTCTTTCGTTTCTTGTATATATGAGATCGCTCATATACAATTGTTTACAGGTGTGTGTATATATATATATATATATATATAGGAAATAGTTGTATATAGGTATATATGTATACAAGTATGCATAAAAAAGATGTGTGTGTGTGTGTGTGTGTGTGTGTGTATATATATATATATATATATATATATATATATATATATATATATATAAAAACAGGTCGAGAGATACTCTCTTGAGTTGGGACATTGGGAAGTGATAAGATAATTTAATTTGATTTATGATTCACACATCCTCAGAGATCTGAAGGCATTTTTCTCATACAAAGTTTTGTCATTCTTTCATTCTAACCTGAGGAAGCCAAAGAGAGCAGACACTCTCCGGCGAAACAAGTCATTAATAAATTTTCCACTTTCTTATCAACTTCAATTTTGTTTTGGATACTACATCCTACAAACAAACATTTTGACAATTCTTATTCAAAGTTAAATCTTAATGATTTAAAATACAAAGTTTTAATGATTTTTAAAAAAAGTAAATATAATTATTGTATTTTTAGAAAATTCATAATATAGAATATAAATTACATTTTACCAAACACTTTGCTTACTTCACCCCTTGTAAATGACAAATATTTGTATATACACATCAGTAATTAAAATCATAACTGCACTAATAGAAATTCCATGTTATTATCAAAGTATTTGGTTTTGCTAAATGAAGATTTAAGTCATACCCATTTTTTTGAGATGTGTGGACCATGTATTATCTGTTCTCCATCTTGTGAGAAGTTTCTGAAAGATTAGAGAAAAAACCTGGTTTAAACAGTGAATACATAACACTATGTGGATTATATTACATGAATGTTGTAGTGATGTTGGCATTTACTTAAACATTTAAACATGGTGTACTTCAAAAAGAAATATTGATATTATGGATTTATTGTTCCCAAAATGATTTAATAAAAACTAAAGATATCTTTTTCATTTCAGGTTACAATACTTCGCGCGAGGGGTGCAGGTATACATTAAACAGTTACGAACTGCATTACAAGGCAAAACAGGAGAAACATTAAAAACAGATGAAGTAAGTTATTTAAGCAGTGGATCTTTAATGCCAATGTCTTTTCAAGTGGCTAGGTTTTGAACTTGTCATCATTGACTTAACATTATCTTTTTTTATGAATCAATTCAATAAAAATATGAATGACCTACTAGAAAAGAGGTGTTGAGTTTAACCAAGTAGCAGCAACTTTTTATTTCACACATATGATACTTAAGTTCTTAAATGTAATGAGATTAGATTTAAAGTCTGATTATAAAAATTGTAATATTGGAAATGATATCTTCAAAAATGAAAATGCAATGTCAATTGTTATCTTGTGTCTTCTTAATTCCTCTTTTATTGTTCTCTCTCCTTAATAATGTTTTCTTTTTCTCATATTCTTTCACACTTGGCACCCCGTATCTTTGTTACCTTTGCTTGGGGTGAAATGATTTAATATATATATATATATAAGCTCTAACTGATATCTTGCATTTTATAAATGCACAAATACACTTAGCCATTAGAATACAGTTTTGTTGTGCCTACATAGCCACTCGTAGTCTTATAATTAAACCTATTATGTTCATATATTGAAGATTAAAGGACCTCTTTCAATAAAGAAAAAATTTGCAAAATTTAATTATTTTGAAATACACTTTGTAAAAAATGCAGGGTTCATATTTTTTTTAGCTCTGGAATCCTCCTTGTGTAATGTCTTTCAGAATAATCAACATACAGATGATGCCCAAGAAATTCACGACAAATTACACAGCACATATTTTTATTAACTGCATTACTTCACAACTACTTCACTACTTATATAAATGTAAAAACAGCCTTAGATGGCAATAAATGACAGATGGCTATAAAAAGATATGTTGATATTTACAGCTAATTTGTTTGAATAATGCACTATTGATTGCACCATATAGCCATAATTATTAGTAAAATGATGCACTAAAATAAGTAACCAAGTAATCGTTTTAAGTTCTTCGGATATTAGTGCTCTGAAAATTTTGCTTTCACAGACTTCTATAAAAGTATTTAGGGAATATGAAGATTGTGCTCAAGCATGTGTCCACTTTTTTTTATTTACATATGCTCTATCCCTTATATTGAGCACATTTAGCCATAAATATAGCATACCTTAAAACTATATTTTATCATTATTTTGAGGTAATTTTTAGTGTAGAGATTTGCTAATGTTATTTTTTTTTTTCCTTTTTTTTTCAGTTAATTCTTATAAAAGGTTCAATAGATATTTTCTTTTAAGTTAGATTCCTTTCTTTGAGTCTTGTTTAAACCTCAGGTTTACTATCATTATTTGCCTCTTCTGCTACTTCAGCCTGACTTTAATGCATGATCTTCACAATAGAAATTTGTTTAAAATGGCATCAATGATTTTTGAATGCCTGTTTATATACATAAACACTCAAACACCTGCATTTAGAATGGAAAAGAATGGCCAAGTTTCATCAGCCATTTTTCCATAACTACATGTTCTTAGTTGTACTTTTAAAGAACCTTTTTAGGCATTCATCTTCACACTTTAATATTTCCATTTTTTTTTTTTTTTTTTTTTTTTTTTTGTAAATACCTACCTGCATTGGTTTGTTTTAATAGCTTTTTCTTTCCTTACTTCTCATATGAAAAGATTGGGAAAAGTAAAAGTACACATTCAAAATAAGAACTTAAACATTTTATGAATATTAAAAATAATGCACTGTATTTTCTTTTATGTTATTTTTTTTATCTTTTAGAACAAAATTAAAGTAATGGCATTGAAGATTACATCTAACATAAATATATTGATCAAAGATTTGTTTCACAATCCTCCTGCTTACAAATCGGTTGTTACGTTATCATGGAAACCAATTCATGTAAGTAGTATTTTGTTTACTTATAAAAACATCTTTGGTTATGGAGTAATGATATTGTCATTTACAACAACATACTTGTCTCTCAGATGCCTACACTATTTTAACCAGGACATTGACTAAGTTTCCCAATAATTACAAAGGCCACACCTCAATTTAATAGGTGGGGGGATTATTTCTTCATGAATTTTTGCTCAAATGTTAGAAAACTGCAAAATTGAATTATTTATTAACAATTTGTTTTACCGTATAAGCATGCACTTATACAGACACAGTAAATGTTAAAAAGTCAGTTATATGAGTTAATCTGCAACTCGGCTATTTACTATTGCCCCCCATGTCTAATTATATAACCCCTGGTTATATTTAGTATATATGTGTTAAAAATGTAGAAAAACATTTGAAAACTCCTTCAAATCAAATACTGTATTTGAACATTAAAAGCTATTTGTTGGTTACTGGAAGACCTAAACTTTTTTCATACTAATCAGAGCTTTTTTGACTAGTTTACTAAATCATTTTTTATCAATTCATGCATTAACATTTGATATTCTTCAAATGGTACAAATGTATTTATACATTATAAGTTGTAATTCAAAATTGAAAATATAAAATATTGTTAAAGTGTATGTATCCCATTGTCTTTAGTTAAAGAATTATTTATATCTAAATGATTCATTTTGAAAAATTTATATTTCAGTTTGATAGTTAAATTTTGTTCAGAAATTGTTTTTCCATATTTGATAGTTTTATTTATTTTTGATATCTAATTTTTTCTCTTAGACAAAGTCCAATCCTGCAAGTATAGGGTGAGTATTCTTTCTTTGATGATTTAATTTTTAATTCTTTAGTTATTCCCCTTGGTTTAAAATCATGGTAAATTTAATTGAAATAGTAATTAATAAAAAATTCTGTCAATCTTGAGGATGAACAAGTATTTTTGCTTTTACATTATCATTTTGCTGATAAGTAAACAATATCCTATTCTTTAAGTAGTGGATTCTACAAAAGTCTGCATGAATTTCTTTTATGAAGTCCTTTTATGATATAAGCAAATACTTAACCTATTATTTTTGTATTTAGTTCATAGACTGGAAACTTATTTATGTCTATACAATCTCATTGTCTATTATTAGGTAGATTATATAAAATGCATTTTTTTTTTTTTTTTTTTTAGTGTAAAACGCAATAGCAGTGACGGTTCTGAATATGGTACTAATCGTAAATCACCCAAACAGGACAGAGCCTTGTACGCACCCCCTGGTGGTAAATATAGCCAAAAGGCTGGAACCTTTCCTCAAGGTAAGTATATCTTACATGTAAAAAAATTCTTCAACATGCTTTACATTATTTCAATAAATATAGTACCTTGAAGATTTAAATCACAAATCTGTTAAAAACAAATGTTGTAACTGTTATTTTACATGAAATTTTGTCTTCCATGATTTAAAGAAAAAAAAAATATAAATTTAGTAAAATATAAGCACTAAACTGAGAGTAAAGATTCTTAGAAATCTAGTGTTGATCCTCTTTTATGCTCGCTCTAATTAGAGAATCTATCTTTAATAGTATAGTGGAGAGAGGAATCCCATCAACACCAAAATAGGTAGGCCTATTTACATACAACTAGACTTCTTACATTTGCATTTATTTGAGTCATTTTGTTTTGTTTCATTTAATTGCAAATTACCAATTCCAGATAAAAACAATACTAGAAAAACTTTTTTTTTTTTTTTTTAGTTACCATCTGCAGCTTTAAAATATTATCAGTCAGATTTTTCTCTAGCTGTTAAGTGAATGTTTTGCATAGAAAGAGCATTTCATATAAAATCATTCGTTATTGGTGAGAATTGAAATATATAACAAGAACATTAAGTTCTCATGTTATGATGATAGGCAACTGACTACATTTTTTCAGATTAATATTTACCAAAGTAGATTTCAAAGCTGGGGATTGGAATGTGTTACAATGTCTAATGTCTTGGAAAAATGAAGAAAATAATCAAAATCAACAAAGTCATGCTTCATTAAACACCACGTCTTTGTTTAATTGCTTTGCTTAGCTGTCTATAAACATTTCAAGAAATGAGATCAATTATTTGATATTTCATACCATTAGCACCCCCATCCCCTGCTATGAGTTGAATAGAAGGACAGACTGGATCCTATAGCCTTGTCTTGTAACCAATCAACTGCAGAAAGAAATAGCAACCTACTGCAGGAAAATCTACCTAGTCAGTCATGAATTGAAAGAGACCTCATTGTCCAAGCATGTATCACTTATGGCACATTTAACTGACTGACCATTACCATATCCTATTGCCTACTCATCATCTCTTTTGTAGGCTTACAATACTTGTTGCTTTACCTTTTCAGTTAATGTAAGAAACACATTTTCTTGGTTCAATCATAATGTCAAATGATGCATCATTTGCTTTGATGTGTATTAAATTGGTATTAGGTCTTAAGTATGGAAGTTCTGGCTGGGTTAGTGGTGATTCCAAGACAACCCCCTCATTCCCTGGAAACTATCACAGTCTAGTGAAGCCGCTTATCCAAGTAAAGGAATATTGCAGTGCATTAATCTTTTTAGCACTTCTCTATAAATTTATATAATTTAAAACTATAAACAAGTTTTTGATTTAAGGTAATTTTACTTTGAAATTGAAGTTGAAAAAGTGTAGATATTGTTTTGTTGAATCTTTCAATTATTATTGAAACTGAAATTTTATTTACCTTTTGGCATCTAAAAATGTAATGTAGTTTAAATATTAGAATGAAAACTCTTCTGCTTTTACATGGTTTAAGGACAAATGATAACCTCCTGATGGAATTTTATTGATATATCTAGAGGTGGAGTTGCTTTTTATAATGTTTTGGGCCCTCAAAGGCACAACATTACAGACTGAAAAAATTCACTAAATGGAAAATAAAATCTAAAGTCTAGTCACTGAATAAAGCGGTGTCTGTCTACATCTGTATGTTTTTGTATTTCATTTTATAGAACTAAATGAATGAATGCGCAATGGGGATTGAAATATAAAGAATTTGTTTTTGTGCTAAGTAACTGAAGAGAAGTTTATAAAACAGCAGAACTTCATTAAACATCAATAGAATCTGCTTAAAACCCCAGAGACAAATTTCTTAAGGTAGAGTGTTCTACAATTGATTCACTACTCAATGCACGAATGAAAATAAACAAGAATTTAATGAAAGCAGTCGAAGAAGTAAACAAGTGTTTAGCTTAAGAATATGACTATTTTTTCTCTTTCTTTTCAGCAAATCGTGGTGGATGGCAGCAACAGAGAGGTGGTTTTGGTGGCTTTGCCCGTGGCAACCGAGGACGAGGAGGAAACAGTGGCATTGGGTTGAGTAATATGAACATTGTGGGAGGCAGCAATAATGCTGGAAGTGGGCAAAGAGGTGGCAGCACTGGTTTCAGGGGTCGGAGGTTTTGAAGGTTTTTTTTTTTATTTTTTTTGCAAGAAATTGTAGGGGTGGGTGGCAGGGAAGAGCATATGGGTCGTTTGCTCAGCTGAAAGCTAGGGGTTTGGGGCGGGTTTGTAAGGTGGTCTTGAAATAAATCAATAAATAAGCAAGTCTGTCAATTAATGATGGAATGAACGGCAGGCATAACTGGAGTTTTAAGAGTGTCTTTTTAAAGGATCATTTGAGTATTGTCTAATTTAGAAAGTTGAGGTACTGGAGGAGAAAAATGGAAATGAGTGGTTTCAATAATTACAGATAGAATTCTGTGAATGATGTGCCTAATTTTAGCAGATCTTAGGTACTTATGTATGAATGAAATGTGAGAGAGACAGATAAAATGTTTAAAAGATAACTGGTATGGACAATGTAGTTAAAACATCCTTCCTCTTTTCTATTTTCTTCTAATTTCTTGAGTTTTAGGAAATTTCCCAAAATTCATTATGTCTTGTGAAAACTCAAGTATGTACTTTGCTGACTCATTCTTTCTTATTAAATCATGCATCTTAAAATCTTTAAAATGGCTTTAATTTTTATCAGTATTTATGATTTTCATTCTCCTAAACTCAGCCGAATCAACTTTTAAGAACACTCCAGATTTCTTTAGTTACATTTCTGTAAGTACTATATCCTTTTCTTTTGAAGGTAAAATGGTTTGCAGTTTCTTTGGTTTCCAGATAGTTGGATATTTGTAGGAATGTGAATGTTTAGTTTGTCATGTTTTTCGAAGCAGATATCTAAATAAGAGTTCAAAATCTTTTATTTTCTATTTTAAATAATGTTATCAACAAAGATTAATGGCTGACTTGAAATTAAGAATTTAACCCCTACAAGTTAACATTATCACTTGAGAACAAAAATTAGAAGAAATTGAATTCTTGAATTGTAAAGTTTTCCATAAGAATCCACAAAATTTGCCCATAACATTTAAATGTTATGTTGTCTGTTTTTGGATATGCTTTTTGTATTTGCATATGCTAATGAGATTTTGGATTATATCTATATAATAGGAAAAAAGGCTTCAGATATTTGTAATAAATTCAACCACGTCTTATGAGAACAAAAAAATATTTGACATATGTGGAAATGAAGTAAAGTATTACTAAATAAACATTTCTGTATCATTGCTTCAAGGCAGTTAACAGTTACTGTACTCTTGAATCTTTTTGACTTTGAATTAATTTGAAGTCATTTTTGACTTTGAAGATTGTTGCATTGAAATAAGTTTTCTGTTATTGTTCATACATTTGACAGTATATTTATCTGAGATTTTTTTTTTTTTTTTGATAACTTGGTAAGTTGATGAAAATCAACGTTTTGTGTATTTCTAATTTTAACTAGTGTTCTTGAGACTTGATGCAATATAGTTTACAAATAGCTTATCAAGGAATATTAATATTTTAGTTATACTTTATAAATCATACATCCTGTAACTTGAATCAGATTAAATTGTAGCCTATTCTGAGCAGTAGCTTTTGACTAAGCTTAACCTACTTTAGTGTGGTTATATTAGCAGAATGCCCATTAAGAAACAAATTCACTTGCATGACCTGTGTGACTAAACTATTAAGTCTTGCTCTTACAAAAAATCAACAGTGTTTTTTTTTTTTTGTTTTGTTTTTTTAAACTATACTTTAAAGAAAGAACTAAACAAAGATAAAACTTTTTACCATTATTATGCTTTGTAGAACTTTGTTAATCTGTTGCTTTTGTAAAATTGATTCTGGGATACATTTTTTTTACTGCTGGTATTATTAAATGGTTAGAAGAAATATAGTTCAGCAGATGTCATTTCTGCTATAATTTTCTGAAGCATTTTCAAAATTGTAATTTTGTAAACTATTTTTGCTATTTGGCAATGAATGCCTGAATTTTTTTTTTTAACTTTGATCAACCTCTAACAGTAAGTAACCAATACTTTTGAATTTAGGAAAAAAGTTCTTAAAGAATGTATAAATAATCTTAAGTATGTTCAATCATTGTCTATGCAATTATTTAGTGGGTAATAATAAATAATAATATTCTAATAAAATTTGTTTCTAGTCATCTTGCAATAAACATGATTTGTTTAATATTTTGATTATGAACACTAACATAGAGGGAAGAAAGTTTTTCTTTCTTTCTTTAAATCTGCTGTTGATACTGGATTCTCAACCATAGTGGCCTTGTACCAAACCAAGCTTGGCTTAGTAAATTTACTGTTAGGTTTCTGTTATATAGTGATATTAAGTTTGTCTTAAAGATCATTCACTAGTGTGATGAGTTTGATCTTCACTGTTGTAGCCTTTTAATCATCTATGCACAAGTAAAATTTTAGCCTTTTTGCAGAGATCTATGCAATTAATGAAAAGTTCATTTTGGCCTTTAATAAGATAAAATTGAAAAAAAAAATGTATGAAGCCTGTATTAATGATTTGTGATTTTTGAAAGTTAATTTAGTCAAAATTCAGTATAAAGCTATTTAATTTTTTTTTTTCATATGAATATGTTAAACACAAATATGTCTACCATCTCTGTCTAGAGATTAAACAATCCAAATTTAGTAATTGTCAAACAATGTGAGAAAATGAATCAACCTGAATATGGGAAACTGTTGAAAGAAAATTAAAAATCTCCTCCATCAATTGAAGATTGTTGCAAAATTTTGTTCAGGTGTTGCTTATATCATCTCAAATATTTTTTTCTGGTTCAAACATGAATTTGGTTTTAAATATTTATTTTTATTTGAACTAATCACTTGAATACACATAACCTTTTCAGAACAGACTATTTGCAGGTTTGGCACAAATGGTAGCAGAGAGAACAAGAAAACCCAAATTCTATAATCAGTACTAATTATCTTATTAAGATATCTTTATTCTGTTTGCATTGGTAGCCATTGATAGTGAGTTTAATTATTACTTGGTGCTCCAAGCTGATTTCAAGCTTTATTCCCTTTTGTCTAGTATGTGGAAAATGCATAATATTTGCTTCCTTCTTCACACATTCAAAATCTTTATTAATGATTGCTGTCTTTCATTTGTCATTTATTTCATGTAAAGCTGTGTGATTAATGCATTTACTTTTCATTGAATTCTGATCTATTTTGGCAAAAATCTGCTATTCTAATTCAGAGTGAATTTCATTACATGAAAAGATTTAATCTGAAGCAAGTGGCAATTAACTAGGAATAAATCAATGGCAATGAGAAACACAGGTTGTTAATGCCTAACAAAACTCATAGTCCAGTAAATTACTGTAGTTTAACATGTCCAAAGGAGGGCAGATTTTTGTAAGCAAAATGCTAATATTAAAAAAATAGAGGGACAGTAGTTAATAGATAAAGGAAAGTTCCAAAGGCCCATCTTTCTGACATTTCAAAGATATGCTGCTTGTCAATGTCAGATAATGTCTTTTGAACTTTATAAACTATATTTTAATTCAAATTCTTTTGTGAAGTATTTAGTAAAAGGTTATTGAGGAGTTAGTGCATTTGGTTTTTGTTTCATTTTTTTTTATCCTCCCCTTGCATTCATGCCAGTATGTGTAAATGTCTGTCTGTATGTATGTATGTATGCATGCATGCATGTATGTGTATTATCTTCACTGTTGTACACTCTATTTCATCCTTTTTCTCCTTCCTTCCTTGATAAAAACAAAAAAAAAAAAACATTGCAATTACAGACAAGCAAAGTCATTTTGTTAATATAATTCCTAATTGGGTTGCTATCAGCAGCTTGATTAAGATCCTCTCATCAAAATAACTTCCTCATTGTATATTCCATTTCAGACATTGGTTATTGCTCCTGGGTGTGTGTGTGGGGGGTCTGATCTATGAGAAAGTGAAGGCAGGAACTGAGCCACTTTAGGGCTCTTTGTCCTTCAAATTGAAAAACTAAAAAAAAAATGGCTACAGTTGAATGGTTAAAGAGAAAAAAAAACAAATTTTTTTTATTTTTTAATATCATTAATCTCTACATATTAAACTGTGACTTGAGGGTGTTTGATTAAATGCCAAAAAATAATAAAATCTGTACACCATCTGTCAATCACATGTTCCAGAGTCCTTGTATCATCTCCAACATCTTCATTAACTTTTCTGGATATAAAAAAATATACAAAAACGAATCTTGTTTTTTCTTTTTTATATTGCGTTTTGTATAAAGTGTTTTAAGTATTTGTTGACCTATCCAAACTTTGGCATATGGTTGCATTAGAGATACAGTAGTTTACAGTTTTACAATAAACTGTCACAAAATTCTAATCTGTAATTTTTATTAGTGATAAGACGTGAAAAAAAAAACAATCATGATTAGAACATTACTTTTTTTGATGTCTTTTTTTTTCTTTTCTCACTTGTATGGCTTTAATCCCATTCCCCAAGTAATTAATTTTTCTGTCTTTTTAGGAATGTTAATATGTGCAAAAGGGACAAATGTGTTGTAGACTCTTGTTTAAAAACATTGGAATAATGTTTATACATGATTTATTACCTGAGAACATACTGGAGTAAATTTCAGTTAATGAGCTTCTTTATGTGAATAGATTCCATGCTCATTTTGTGCCAATTTAGTCATGGTCTTTAAATCTTGTATTTTTTGCCATTGTATGCTACCGAATGATGATACTTTCCTTTGTCTTATGCTCAAAAATACATTTACTGTGCATTGCACAAAGCACCAACTTAACTGTTTTCAATAGAAAGATATTCAATTCAGTTTTCCTAAGTAATACTTTATCTTCTTGAAATGATACATTTATCTATTCTTTCAATATTCAAGTAGACATTATCCTTCTTTCATCAATAGAGGGCTCAGCAAACTTGAACCTTCATGCCTGCAAAAAAAAAATGGAGTGTCAAAAGGACAGTTTCCTCCTTGACATTGTTATTATTTTAATTACTTATTGCTTTAAAAAGTGATGAATAGAATTGTAATAAAACGTAAATATGATGAAAGGGAATTTATACATTTTTTATTTTTAAGAATTTACA